CACACACACATATATACATATATAAATACATATATAAATACATACATACATACACATACATTCATACATACATTCATACATACATAAACTTCTCCCTCAATGAATGCCAGTGGAAACAAGCCACTCTTCCTGTCAGGCTCGGGTGTCCACACCGCCACCCAAATTGCTGTCCCAGCCTTCCTGTCTTCCTCCTCAGCATCAGATGACCTGGTTAAGGAAATTCTACCTGACACCTTGAGTGATGTAGCGGGAATACAGGACCCCTACTACACGGAATGCGACACGAAATGGGATGCCATGACAGACCCAGCACTCAGACCAGCCATGCCGAAAGCCAAGAAACAATCCAGTTGGGACAACCCCATTGTAGACAAAGAAGCCACAGCTTTGCTGGAGGCAGCAACGACCCCCAGTGATCGTGCACGCCTCACAGCTGTGCAGGCTCCCCATGCAGGGGACTTCCTTCTGGCAGTCCCCATGTCTGCGACAGGCACACGTCTTGATCCGCAGGAGCTCCGTATTGCAGTCGCTCTCCGCCTTGTTGCGCCTATCCACACTGTTCACAGGTGTATTTGCGGCGAGGCAGATGCCGACGAATATGGATTGCATGGTCTGCACTGTGGAAAATCGGGTGGTTGGCACACTAGACACAACGAAGTCAACGACATCATTAAAAGAAGCCTTGCCTCTGCTCAGTGTCCAGCGGAGAGAGCCCCCCGCAACCTACTGAACCGTGACTCTGTTAAGCTTTGCCGACCGACCAGACGGAATCACACTGCGTCCGTGGAAGGGTGGCAGGCAGTTGGCATGGGACTATACTTGTGTATACCTGGCAACGACATACATTACCCTCTCTGCCGGCACAGCAGGAGCCGCAGCGACACACAGAGAAAAACAAAAGTCAGTCAAGTACAGGCAATTAGATCAACGGTACAACTTCGTTCCAATTGGGTGTGAGACGCTAGGCCCATGGGGTGAGAGTGCAAGAAGGTTTCTTAAGGATCTTGGTTCCAAGCTCATTGACACCACAAGATACCCTAGAGTGGCAAGTTTTCTCTTTCAGCACCTCAGTGTCGCGATCTAGAGGGGGAATGCCCGCTGCATCCTCGGTTCCTGCCCGGCGTCATAGGAGTTCGAGGAAATCTACAGCTTCTAGGAAGCGAACTTTTTCTTGTATCCTCTTAATGTTCATTTTTTGTATAAAATCAGATATGTAACTGTATAACCTTGCATAATAAAGTGTACACCATAATATAAAAAAAAGGGGGGTGGTAGGAGAAGCGAACACTCTTTCGTATTCAGAGTTAAATGGCAAGTTTTTCCCTGAATGCTCTGTGTTCCCTTCTCTGAGGCTGTGGGTCCCTATAATTGCACCAGTGGTGGTACCCCCCTATATATATATTTATATTATTAAATATGACCGAAAAAGAAAGATTAATAATTCTAACACAAATTTTCTCAATATTTCTTATGTTTCTTTTCACTGTCTATGGTAATTGAAAAATCCATTCTCCAAAATTTATTTTTATTTCTAGTCTGACGCGACACTTGAACGCGTTTCGTAATAACTTATTACATTTTCAAAGACTTTAGATTACACACACACACAACTATAACCTGCAAACACTAAACAGAGTTCTACTATGCTATAATTCAAACGGCTTTTCATTTTATATACTTGCATTTGGGTGAGGTGATATGCTACAACAGTTTTGGATGAGGTGAAAAACTTTCAACACAAGATAGAACACGAAATATTGGGTAATATTGGGTAAATTTAAAGGGGAAGCATGGAAGTAAATGCAAAGGGCCTATTGGCCCATATTTCTTGATGCTTCTATATTGGTGCGGAGTCTTGAAATGGGTAGAATATAGTTGTGCATTAATTGACTGTTGATTGCTGGTGTTGACTTCTTAATGTGTAGTGCCTCGCAGATATCAAGCCGCCTGCTATCGCTGTATCTATCGATGATTTCCGTGTTTTTCGTTAAGACTTCTCTGGTGATGGTCTGGTTGTGGGAAGAGATTGTGTGTTCCTTAATGGAGCCCTGTTGCTTATGCATCGTTAATCACCTGGAAAGAGATGTTGTTGTCTTGCCTATATACTGAGTTCTTTGAGGCTTACAGTCCCCAAGTGGGCATTTGAAGGCATAGACGACATTGGTCTCTTAAAGCATTCTGCTTTGTGTCTGGAGTTTCTCATGAGTAGGTTGGCCGTTTTCCTGGTTTTATAGTAAATCGTCAATTGTATCTTCTGATTTTTGTCTGTATGGATAACGTTTCTATTAACAATATCTTTCAGGACCCTTTCCTCCGTTTTATGAGCTGTGGAAAAGAAGTTCCTGTAAAATAGTCTAATAGGGGGTACAGGTGTTGTGTTAGACCTGATGTTAGACATCTGCAGGAGCTGAAGGAGGCATTTGAGCGGAATCCCGTGTTGCGCTTCACTTACAAGATGGAGAAGGATGGGAAGCTGCCCTTTCTAGATGTAACAGTCATGGAAAGGAGCAGAGGTTTCCACACTGCAGTCTACACTAAGGAAACAAACATAGGAATGTGCCTCAATGCCAACAGTTGACTGCCCAGACAGGTACAAGAGGAGTGTTGTTAACGCTTATGTCGACCGTGCTCTCAGCCACAGCTCAGGATGGAAGCAAGTCGATGAAGAACTCTGTAGGGTAAGGCAGGTCCTAGTCAACAACGGCTTCTCCAATGGTTTCGTTGAAGACATCATAAGAAGGAAGGTGAAACGCCATGCAACCTCTGAAGAGAACTAACACAACACCTGTACCCCCTATTAGACTATTTTACAGGAACTTCTTTTCCACAGCTCATAAAACGGAGGAAAGGGTCCTGAAAGATATTGTTAATAGAAACGTTATCCATACAGACAAAAATCAGAAGATACAATTGACGATTTACTATAAAACCAAGAAAACGGCCAACCTACTCATGAGAAACTCTCCAGACACAAAGCAGAATGCTTTAAGAGACCAATGTCGTCTATGCCTTCAAATGCCCACTTGGGGACTGTAAGCCTCAAAAAACTCAGTATATAGGCAAGACAACAACATCTCTTTCCAGGTGATTAACGATGCATAAGCAACAGGGCTCCATTAAGGAACACACAATCTCTTCCCACAACCAGACCATCACCAGAGAAGTCTTAACAAAAAACACGGAAATCATCGATAGATACAGCGATAGCAGGCGGCTTGATATCTGCGAGGCACTACACATCAAGAAGTCAACACCAGCAATCAACAGCCAATTAACGCACAACTATATTCTACCCACTTCAAGACTCCGCACCAATATAGAAGCATCAAGAAATATGGGCTAATAGGCCCTCTGCAGTTACTTCCATTCTTCCCTTTAACTTACCCAATATTATACCCATTGTTTCGTTTTCTGTCTTGTGTTGAAAGTTTGTTTTCACCTCATCCAAAACTGTTGTAACATATCACCTCACCCAAATGCAGGTATATAAAATGAAAGCCGTTTAAATTATAGCATAGTAGAACTCTGTTTAGTGTTTGCAGGTTATAGTTGTGTGTGTGTAAACTAAAGTCTTTGAAAATGTAATAAGTTATTACGAAACGTGTTCAAGTTTTGCGTCAGAATAGAAATAAAAATGAATTTTGGAGAATTGATTTTTCAATTACCATAGACAGTGAAAATAAACATAAGAAATATTGAGAAAATTCGTGTCAGAATTATTAATCTTACTTTTTCGGTCATATTTTTTAATAATAATAATAATATTTTATATATATATATGAGTGTATACTCTCAGCAGGTTGTCTTTTAAACATGTCTCATTGAATATGACCGCATATTCTGTATTTACTATCTTCTGATTTAGGGCTTCTATCCCTCTAACTATTTTCTTAGCATCAGGGCTTAGCTGAAAGAGGAGTTCTCCAAAACTCATTTTCGTAATTTCAAGGTGAAGAAAAAAGTGAATTACTATAGAATGTATTAAACTTATTTATACAATTTGCACAACGTTTCGAACCTCCATGGTTCATTCTCAAGTGAAAAGAATTTTCAGAACTGGTTGATTTATACCCGCACTGGGTTAGGTGATAAGACAATAAAGATAAAAACATGGGGGATACATAAGGGATAAATGGGGGATGAAGCACATAAGAATAAAGGTAACTGCGGAAGGCCTGTTGGCCCATACGAGGCAGCTTCTATCTACATACAAAGATTAATCAGGTGTAATTGGCCTGTTATGTTGAACAGTGTTTTCTGTGTTGGCATCGTTATGTTCTGGTCTTGTCCTTACTCTCATGGTGGGTAGAGTAAATAGTTCCATGATTTGGGTGTTCATGGTAGGTTGTTCTATTCTTATATGAATTGCTTCAAGAATTTGTAATCTTCTTGCATCTTGGGTTTTGTCTATTATAAAGGTATTTTTGTTCAAGATTTCTCTTGTTAGGGTGATGTCATGGGCTTGTCTCATATGATTCCTGGGGGCACCGGATTGAAGATGACATGTCAAATGCCTCGTCAGCTTGGTCGACGTCATACCTATGTACTTCGATTGAAGGTTACATCTTTCGTGGGGCCAAGTGTACATGTATACAACGCTTGACTGCTGTAGAGGGTTCTCCGTCGGCTTCGGGCTATTTTTGATAAGGAGTTCAGAAGTCTTCTTAGTTTTGTAGAATATGATCAAGTGTATGTATATATGTATATTATATATATATATACAATTATATATATATATATATATATATATATATATATATATATATATATATATATATATATATATATATATATATATATATATATATATAACCCTCTTTATGATTTGTGCCAAATCATAGAGGGTTCTGCATATAATCATGACCAGAGAAAGGATTATGCTGGGAAACAGATGCCCACTGTAATATTTCGAAAACTGGTCAAAGTTAATGGTCAATTGGTTCTATTTAAATTGTTTCCATAAGTCCTAATTCATTTACTGTTATAAACTTAAAACATACCTCTCCACAGGGCAATCTTTTATTGAAGTCTATGCCAGTGAGCGGCGTGCCTGCTGGGGGCAGCAGCACCGATGCATCCTGAAGCAGGTACTCCACATTCAAGGGCTTCCGGTGCATCTCGTGCCACTCATCCTCGAACATGTCCAGGAAAATTTCTTCACTCTTCAGATAGAATAATAATGTGATTATTTATTTTCAAAATTTCTAAAGCATTGACAACACTACAAATATACAAGATGCTTAATTGATCAAGAATTTTTCTTAGGTGCTATATAAATACTATATTCATCAAATCTCAAGTTAATGTTTAGAAATTTTGACTTTGCCACCCAACAGGAAGAACCAAACTGATGGGGAGAGGACTATACTGCTACAAGACTGAATACAATAGCATGGAACACACTAATAATAGTTTATTCCCTATAGTTTGACCAAAAAAAGAGCAACAACCAACTGCTCTTAAGAACTAGTAGAGCATGTAATCACCACCCAATAGAAAAGTAATTTTTCAAGGGTAATCTAAACAAATGAAAATATCTAGTTGTGAGAGTATGGTCTCTCAAGATTTTCCCACAGCTGACTTGAATGACTCATTGCAGTGCACAAAGCCTATCTCTTTTAACCCTGGATGGAAACTGTCATGTCGGGTGTCCCCATGATGCCCACATATTCAGGAATACTTGCATCATGCAGAGGCTGCCGTATGCCCAAGGGGAAATTAGATAAAGAGTAACTAAGCATTCATGCCAGAGTGTCAGTAAGTACACAACAAAAGTGCCAGGGGATGAGAGAGGGGACACCAGCAAGGCGAGATAAGCTCTAACCTCTGGGGTCAATCTCAACCGGCGCATCAAACAACAACAACAGTGACGTAGTCGTGGAGTGGTCATGACGTCACTCTTCTGTCCATCACATAAGGATCAATATCACTGTTCCGACATCTTTGCTGCAACGCCATAGGTCACTTTTGTAGACCAGGTGTTTGTGCCCCGAGGAAGCGTGCAACCCTTTGCAAGATTATTCTCGTGAGGAACTTCATACGTGGTTGACGTGTCCTTCGTGATTGTCTATTGGCCAACAGACAGAACACCATCCATTCCTCACCGTCAAGTTAAACTCTGCGTTCTGCTCAATATACCAGTGCTCGTCCAGAATCGCGACCGTGAATATATTGTTTAGAAATCTTCTAGAGTGACAAAAGTTTGTGAATCACCAGAGCGAAACAGACTGGTATCAGGTAACATCTGTGAGAATGAGATTGTCTGTGGGTAACTCAGTGGTCAAGGGTGAACCAAGTGCTGCCGCCTAAGTAAACTGTGTGTGACTTTACCACTGTGTACCTGCATGGTACAATATAACTGTAGCCACTGCTGCCACTCAGTCCAGAGCGTGTAGCCAGCCGCCACTCGCTCTGCCTCACTGTACTACATGACGTCACCGCCCATCACACCTTTATACACGTGCCAGTGTCAATGGGGAGGGGGGGTGTTTGTTAGGCATACAGCACACCCTCCAGCAAGTACACCGCAATGTCAAGTACGGTCGTGTTGGGAAAGCCTGTCATCAGTGTTCTCACATCTTAATGAGCAAACCCAGCTGTCAGGTCACCTATGAGGTCTTGCATGAATGTGCATGAGTGAGTGAATGGGAGAGGTAGCCATACCTGTAAGTACAAGATCTTGTTTCTTTATTAAGTGTCTCTATTGATATTAGCGGTCAACCACAGTCCTCACCTTCACATTCCTGACATTGTCTAATCACAACAATGACGGCCCTACTGGGTGTCGAGGGGTCAGAAGGCAACACTAGTGATGTGTGGTGCACACTGGGAGCCACAGCTAACCACCACCTCACTGCTTATGCAATGAATGCAACTACCACACTCTGTGACTTGTAGAAACGCCAAACAGCATAAGCCACTGCCAATAGGTGGAGACCAAGACACCTGACGGTGTATGCGTGTTCATCTGTGTGGTATCACATTACACTCGTCTGTGAATGTGAGCTTCACATACACCACACATTTACTTATTGTGTGACATAATTATTGTGAATGATTATTGCTTGTTCCATTGACAGTGCCATTGTTGATTTACTGTGCATCATCGTTGCCCAAGTATTCTGTTGGAACTCCTGTGACCCTTTGCACACCGTCAAGTTACGTTTGCCGTGTTAGTGATTGGCTGTCAATTGTGTCAAGTTAGGTGTTTTTCCACGAGTGGATCAGAATTTATTAGTCAGACATCAAGAGTCTCGCTAATGCAATAATAGCCTTGCTGACACCAATCTAAAGTAAATCAAGCACCCATTGTATTAGTGGTTAAGTTTGTAAATAAACTAATGTTAAGCATTATGCGGTGTTTGTGTTGAACTACTTCTGAATACTGCCATTACATTACTTAATCCTTCAGCCCCAGGTGTCTTCAACACCGAGGTGCCTATTCAAAAAACTATAAATGTAACGAGGACCCTAGAAGCCCTTGAAGTGTGTCAAGCATTGAGGAGATTCCCACGACCAACATGGATCAGGACCAGGTGAGGCTAGTCTGAGAAGAGACCATCAAGGACTAACTCGACTGTGCTCCCAGGCCCTGTACACTTGCTTTCATATTTTTTCTGCTGGATTCTGACAGCTTCGTGAAGCATCTGCCATATGTACATTGGTGACGGTGTACACATTGCAGTTGGGAAAGCAAAGTAGAAAACCCCACATTAGTACCAAACCCAAATGTGACGGTGAAAAGACCAAACAAATATGACTGAGCCTGCCCATGAGCAGCAGGGTCATGCTCCCAGCAATACTCAATAGGCTTTCAAGCCATGAAACTCGGACAGGTGGCCGCAGCTGCAGCCTCCAGTAAAAAAAGGTAGTAAAGTACCACTCTAAACCCAACTAAAGAAGGTCTCGAGTAAGGTAAGCTGGGATTTCAACTGGCTAAGAAGCTGAACATCATACCAGGCATCACCAACATGCAACCCTTGTCCATCAAGAATGCTCAAGCAATGGGAGCCCAAATGAGCCATTTGTTGTGGTGCATCAAGACCTGGATGCCTCAAGCTGAAGCTCCCACAGCATCATCCTAGTTAGCATGGTGAAGTTTTGTGCCAAGTTCAACCTTGAAGTGTTCAGAAATTATAAAACCTGTCACCCACATGATACAAAGAAAAATCTCTCGAACCTTGGGTGAAACACCTGCAGGTGGCCCTCCCTTCCACCCACTACACCACTGGGGCTTGTGGTGAAAGGGCAGTTTGTAAGCCCTGATGAAAACACCTCAGGAAGGAGTATAGACTGTCTTCAAACTGGAGAGGAAGCACATTAAGAGCCATTCTCACAGAAGCAATCAGTATTACAGAACTTGTACCTCAAACATTGTTCTACTGGAACCAACCACAAGCCCCTACAAGTGATGAAGATTAGCGACAACAGACAAAACTGAATGATGTAAAGGAAGTGACACAGGTATAGCTGACAACAAAAATGAGTCAATGAAAAATCATTCTAAATCGTTTCCATGAAAAAAGTACAAAAACTTTTCATAGATAAACTTTAATAAATGTTATCTAGCTAAAGAATAAATAGCATATGGAATTTAGAGATGGAAAAATACATACTGAATACAGTACTTGTTTCCTAGAGATTACATAACAGAATATTGAACTTACTTTGTAAAAATTTCTGAGCATAAGTGTGGCCTCTTCCCGGGCACCTTCTAGTGATGCCAAGTGGTGGTCACGAAGACAGCTTGTGTGTTTTCTGCGACTGCTCGACCCAACACCAATTAACTGCTTTAGCACCAAGATGGCCATTTCGAGAGTAGCCACACGCACCCGTGAATCTGCAGACAAGACTCCATTTTAACCCTTAAACCACACATATTTAGAGCCCGGAAGCAAAAAATATTTGAATTATGTAAAAAAAAACTTAAAAATATTTAACAAATATCCAATTTATTGGCTTCAGCATCATGAAACTTTTATTAAAATATTTTCAGAAATTGATTTTAGACAAATTTTTTAAGAAGAATGTTTTGTTTGATAAGGAGAACAGCTCCCATTAACTGGAACTAAGGGATAATGCAATAATAAAGAGACGCAATCACCTGTCCGACACTCAAAGAAGAAGAAGAATAGTAGTAAGAAGTGTCCACAAAGTGACAGAAGAAAGTGCGAAGAATCTGCAGTTATCAAATGCTACAATAACTATTGAACAGAATCAAAGAAATTTCAGCATTTTATTGCCACTTAATAAATTACTACTCGAAAAATATGTTTTCTAAAATATACTTAATTCATCACACATGGCCTCACCCCCACCTACACTTCGCTTTGTCCTTTTCCCTTTATAAGCAGCTAACTCTGTCTCTCTCTCTCTCTCTCTTATGAACATAATAAGGTCCTTGTATGTGAAGCATTTTACACTACTGTTCTTAATTATAGCAGCAGCTATAATATATAGCAGCAGGATATGCAGCTGGTGCTTTTATAGCATTGGTGAGTAATACATAATACCACAAATAATAATAAGTATGCTATTATGCTCTATTTTGTTTTATATCATATAAAAAATTGACCAATGTTAAAATGTGTGTTACTTTCATCAATGTCCAAAAAACCAACGTTGAATGTAATGAAACTCCATTTTCTGGGTGAGTCCCGGAGGCTCCCCGGAGCTATCCAGTCTGCATGGATATGTACAACTTTCTGGCATCAGTTAAAGTGCTAGGAGTTCTTGCCTACCGGGGACCACGAGCCAGAACCTGGCCCCCTCAGAGAGGCACGAGGAGCAATGGCCTATAGAAACCCCCTTGTGATTGGGAGCATTCTATGTCTGCCATCGACTGGGACAGGCACCCAGAAAGGTAGGCGCCCCAAAACAAACCCCTATTCTGGTGAAATTATTGCTACCGAAAGCCGAACGAGTGGACAGACATAATTATCAAACTAGCATGACGTCATCACGTTGCCGCGCCACCGTCTGCGCAACCCCCCCCTCCCAGAGAGGGGGAAGGAGGAGCCCCAGACCCTTCACGCCGGCGATCCAACTGGCAGTTCTTCGGCTGGATGTCAAAATACACGAAAAACGCCGCCGACTGGAGGGAGGGAGGGATGCCAGGGAGCCTCCGGGACTCACCCAGAAAATGGCGTTTCATTACATTCAATGCTGGTTTTCTGGGGGGAGCCCCGTCGGCTCCTCGGAGCTACCTCACCAAAGATAAGTAAAACAGAGAAGGAACCAGGAGGCGGATACCACACGTCCTAACTGAACAACCAAAACCAGAGACAAAACAAAGATCAAAACGAGAAGAAAAAGACCACCCAGGCCAACGACCAGGACGCCACCAAAACTCAAGAGCAGGCCAGAGGGGAACAATGCCCATGACAGCAAGTGGAATGGAGCAGAAGGAACTGCAACACTAAACGCAAGCAGGAGTGGCTCTGCCAGCACTACCCAACATGAGGTGACAGGACAATCCCAGACAATGGTCCCAGAACAACCCTGAAGGGAAGACAAGCCAACCCTATCAAAGACCGAAGGGCCCTTCGCAGTGATAGGAAAACCACACACCTCCCCCGAGACGAAACACACAGGTGGGAGACCAATAACAAACCCACCTGTGCCAACACAAACGACGAGAAACGAACACCATGATCAAAAGCGCAAAACGCGAATCTAAAAACAGCGACCCCGCAACCCAAAGGAGCAACATAACCAGCTCCAGCAGGGAAGAATGATGCATGCATCCCTGAGGCATCCAAGAGAACTACCCAGGACGAGAACAGCAGGAAAGCAAACACACCCAGTCCGGAAAAGGAACAAAGAAAAACCGAAACCAGGACCGGAACCCAGCAAACCCGGTTCCAAGAAAAGGAACCAGGAAGGCAGGAGTGGCAGACCGAAAAGTCTACACCCCCCACAGACAGCGCAACCCGAAGCCTGCAGAAAACCACACAGAAATCGTAGGAACTCGGTACCAAAACGGAACACCGGAGAAGTCCAAAAGCAGGACGCGGAACATGGACAGATCGGAGCACCAAACAGGATAATCAAGAAGCACTGACTCAGATACACAAAAACGTGTAGCATGGGGGAGGAAAAACGGAAATAGGTAAGGAAAACCATGAATACGGCCCAAGGAGCGGCCAGGAAGTAACGCACACGACCAACCACAAAATGTGTAGAGGAGCGCGTACATACCTGAGGGACCTTACGGACAGCAGGGTGCAGTCAGGCACCGAAGATAGGCAAGGAAAGTGTCCAGACAGGGAAAAGACCCAGGGGTCGACAACGAAAACAAAAGCACGCGGGGCAGAGCCCCACAGGACAACAAAGAACAAAAGATGGTCAAAAAAGGCACTAAGACACATGCAAGGCGATCAAACACCACACCAAACACCCAAGTCAGGAGCCATCGACGCAATCCCGCCAAGCGGGGAAGAGTAAACAAGGATGGAACAGTGAACAAGGGTGGCGAAGTGAGTAGAGTATCCCAAGAAGATACTCGCTCCAAACGCATGAGCCTAACTAGATTAGCAAAGCTCTACGAAGTACCAACGATGGAACTCAAACTGTTCCGTACTTCCAAGGAAAATTCCTGCCAACCTTTGGAGAACTGTGAGGCGTCGACCAACATATAACCAGCAGAGTAGCGAATAATAACTAGTCTACCTGCAAGTGTGGTCTAGAACAGACATGCGAGACACCGTACCGACACTCAGTGTGCCCAACCCGCACCATTGCCCACCAAAATATCACCCGCAACCACTGTATACACAACAAAAGATAAGGAGTTCCTTAGTGTTTGTGTTTATTGACCAATCTCCATGAAACAATAGAAACTGGGATAGTAGCACACGCCACCCTTGCAGCACATTGTGGGCACGAAACAATGGGCATAAAAGGGATAAGCGCAGAAACAGGAAAGACCGGAGGAATGACCGGCACGGTAACACGCCCGGTGATGCGCGGAACCAATTACCACGTAACGTGATGGTGGGGCCCCACGATTGGTGCAAGGGCAGGTTGGACATATATGTGAGTGGGAATGGATGGTAAGAAACAGTAGCTGCCTCGCACGGGCCAATAGGCCCTCCGCAGGTCCACTGTACTTATGTCCGTATGTTCGTACGCACAAGAGGACACAGGAGGAAGTGAGCACCCAAAGGAGCCACAGACACTAAAAAGAACCCGATTAATGTCAGAGGGGAAAGGAAGCCAAAAGCACCAAAATGCCATGCGGAGGAGGCAGACGCCACCCACAGGAGCAAACATGAAGACAGAGCCCAGAAGGCTCAGGAAACTGCACAACCGTCAACTGACAGGAGAGGCGGGGCCCAAGAGCCAGAGCTCAACCCCCGCAAGCACAACTAGGCAAGCACCCCACCAAAAGTGAGAACCAGCCCATGGCTGACAGAAGCGTCAGGCAAGACAACCTCACCTGCAGAGCAGACACACGACCATGCCACAACACAGGCGAGCCAAGTAACATACTAGGAACAGCGCTAAAGGTGTGCCCGAAAGCCATGCATACTCGAGGCAGTAGGCATAGTATGTACCGTTACCTGAATAAAATGTGAAGTCGAAGGAGAAATATGGCCAGAGGTGCGCGCCCTGCAGAAGACGAAGCAGTACAGAGGGGGAGGAGGCGGCGCCATGCCAAACCATCCCACACCAAGAAGCAGAGGAAGAACAAAGTGACACCCCCAGATATAAATCCAAAACACCCTCAGCATCCAGAGGGCCATGACTGGAGGGAGAAACGAGCAAGAAGCCATAGAAAACCACGAGAAACGACGCGAACACATGAGCATACCGCCCGTAAACAAAACGCACACGAGGTACGAAACGCACCATCCGTCCACCGGGAGGCGTGGCTTGTACACTAGGCGGACACACAAATCGTACATACAACATACAGACATTGTACAAACACCAGGAAGGTGTGCGGAATGAAGACAAAGAACGTTGAAACTGGAAGTAGAGACGACGCGAAAACAAAACAAGGCGAAAACGAAGCAAAAGAAAACAGATGATGGAAGGGAACCAACAAGGCCGACAAAAGACCAGAGGGAAACCACATTGAAAATCAACAGACGTTCCAATAATATTGGAAGGTACGAAGAGACTTGCGAACCAACGAGAACCACGACAAGCACCCCTGACCAAGGAACATGCAGGGACAACGATACGAAGCGGTTTAGGCACTATGTACTAGGTCAATATATAAATCCATCAAAGTTTGTTCCACACCTTGTACGGATGTACCTTACCTGAACACTTTTTTTTTTTTTTTGAACAGCATCGCGAGATAAGAGCGAAAAGGGTAAGGAAAAGGGGGTGAAACACACCCCCAGGAACGACGGGACCGATGAACCCGAAGGAACACGGAACCGAACCCAGGGAGGGGTATACCCGAAAACAACAGGAACACAGAGGGAAGGAACAACCCCACTGAGGAACTGCCAGCCCCACAACAAAGGTACAAAGACCCAAGAGGGGCAAATGGGGCCGAGGCCCCCCAGGCAACCCCTCCCTAACCCCGGGAACCTCAACGGCATGACCCAGGGCCGAGCCGCACCCCCAAAGCCCCAGCTTAACACTTTCGCGCTTTAGATTAGAGATAACTCGTCGCCGTTTTCTCTTACGATTCCGCATAACAGCCTACTTTTCTCGTCCATCGAAAAAATATTTCTATAAATTCCATTTTTTAACCGAAATGGATGGGGATACTTTTGTTTTGTAGAGAATTTATTTGCGAATGTTTTGGTACCAGAATGAATATTATATCACAAACTTCTATGAGTAAAAAAAAAAATACACAAAGTATGTTTGGGGGTG